TTTTTTTTACTAATAACTTCTGATAAAATAACATGTTAAAATTTTCCAAGACAGTAGTGAAGCAATAATACTGAATACCTGTTCAGGTACAGGAGAGGGAGTCATAGCATCTCTCCCATCTCAGTAAAAACCACCTGCAGGATTCCATTTTGGGGGTTCCCTTTGTGTCAGACATGTTGCCTGTTTGGGCCTAATTTTTATTTTTGCAGACCTACAAAAACATCTCTTGGATCATTCAGTGTAGTCTACAGGCATTGAAGATCAAAAGTTATCAAAAGATTTTTGTTGCAACAAAGCATGTAGGCATGTGGCCAAGCCACAAAATCTGACGTCTCACTATCAAACAGGATTGTGTCATAACTTCCACATACAAGGGTGGATCTGTACCAAACATACATCTGTCATCACAAAATTCCCTGTGCATTTTTATTTCCACCTCTTAAAGTTAAAAGACGTTCTGCTTCATATTCACTAGACTGTCTCCGTTAGTGGCTGTTGCTCCATTGATCCTGGGAATCATTGTACCTAAAGCTGGTCGACGTCTAGCCAGGCTGTAGAACAATCCAGCAGCATTATGTCACTGACTGGCTGAACAGATGTGTGTATCTGTTTCATGCAGGTAACGTTGCTCTGTGTGTCTGTAGGCCAGATTCCTGGCCTTTTTGTTCCTCACGTAGGATTCCTCCATCCACCCATAGTTTGTTTTGGCAGCCATGTGAATCTGGTGTGTTTGGAGGGCATTGGGTCGCTCCAGGGTATGGTATTAATGGTGCCCCTCCCACACACACACACACACACACACACAAGCCCCTTCTGTCACCTCTGATTCTGCTGACAGGGTCCAACCCATCATGAGAGAATGCCATTCCAGAGGGATTGTTGTTAAAGCCCGTCTTTCTGGTCCTCAGGTATATAAAGAGGTGTCAGCTGTGGAGCGGGGGACGAAGCACCGTGGAAACATTCTTCATTCACAGATTTTTATTGTCTGCCTTATTCTCCTATTCCTGTTCCGCCTGCAATTTCTGTCCTACTGGACTCTGAGTTCTGCAGGTGAACCTGCCAACCTGAGCCAAACCAAGCAAACATAGACCAAACTGCCTCCAATCACAATGGATATTGCCATCCAGCACCCCTGGTTCAGACGTGCCTTGGGCTCCATCTACCCCACCCGACTCTTTGACCAGTTTTTTGGAGAGGGAATGTTTGATTATGACCTTTTCCCCTACACCGCCTCCACTATCAGCCCCTATTACAGACACTCACTTTTCCGCAACCTTCTGGATTCTTCCAACTCTGGGATTTCTGAGGTAAACACAGTTAAGACCCTGACAGTTGAGAACAGATTAACATTCCTTAAGCTCTTTATAGTCCTCTTAATGTTAGCTGGAGTGAAATGGATCTTCTGCTGTGTTGTGAAACGCACAAGATCTTTCCACAGTGCTGACTGAACCTTTCTGTCCATGTTTGTTTCTTCAGGTGAGGTCTGACAAGGACAAGTTTACAGTCTACCTGGACGTCAAGCACTTCTCCCCCGATGAGCTGAGTGTGAAGGTGACTGATGACTACCTGGAGATCCAGGGCAAGCATGGAGAAAGACAGGTGATGCTCTTGATTTTTCTCCAATCAGGACTTACTTGGTGAGAATGACAGTTAGACCACATTCTAGTCTGTTGTCACTAGAGGGATACCAGAAAAGATAAAAAAGAAGGAAGAACATGAGGATTTAGGGAGAAAAAAGGAGAACACAAGGAAAGGACAGATAAGGAAAGAGGGAGTGGAGGGAAGGACAGCACAAAGGAGTAGAAGAATACAAGTAGGGATAGAAGAAAAGAAGAGGAATGAAGAGGAAACATAAAAAAGAAAGGTAAGAAGGAAAGTGGAGGGATGAGGGGTCAATCATTGAGGAAGAAAGAACACAAGATAGGAAGAAAAGAACAATGTAATGAAGAACAGATAAATATACAAGGAAAGGAAAGAAAGAAGCAACACTGAAACCCAGCAACAAAAAATTAAGTCTGAAAATTCAACCATTTTTCCAAACTTAGGCAGACCTGGAAAATACTTCAATCTAACTCCATTGTTTTCCAGACTGAGTCCTGGATCTGTTCTGTGAGCTGGTTCTCTAAATGTTCTGAGTACCACTAAATGTGATTACTCCTTAGTTGCAAGAAAACTCATTAGTTTTCTCACATCTTAAAATATGCTCTCATGTTCTAAAGCAATGGCAACATATAGTATACTGTGTCTTATGTTCGAAGATATTTTCTAGTAAAATCTAAAGCTATAGAAATATATATCCCCAGCTCTTGGGATTACAGCCAGTCGGCACAAAGGAAAATGAATGACGCTCCTCAGTTGGCTTATGGAGAAACCTATATACAGATCTTTAAGAAGTCACTAACTCTATAAGAAATTTATTGTATTTCAGACTTTTGAGATTGAGCTATGTCAAAGTTTGGTCCTAATATTTCTTCTTAAAACATAAATTGGTAATCCTCAACCCATACCTTATGGCACCAACCGCTTTGTTTTTCAGGACGACCATGGTTACATTTCTCGCGAGTTTCATCGCCGGTACCGCCTGCCCACTTCTGTTGACCAATCAGCCATTACCTGCACCCTGTCAACTGATGGTCTGCTGACGCTGTCTGGTCCAAAGCTATCTGGAGGAAGTGAATCTGGTCGTGGTGAGCGTAGCATCCCCGTCACCCGTGATGACAAACCCAATGCTGCTCCATCCTCATAGAGGAAAATCGGTTCAGTTCCCCAAGAATCTGCTAGTCTGAGATGGACAACCAGAAATTTCTTCTTCTACCCTTCCCTTAAGAGGATACTCTTGTTCTTCTTCCTTCATTTTCTCTAGTTCCTCTATAGCATCCTCATCCAGAACTATAGTATCATTGTTTTTAAGTATAACATAGATCAGCCCTTAAGAGTTGCTAAGTAAGGTGCTCGAAACCCTTTCTTTTGTCCTGCCTTGTTCTACACTTGTAGAACAAGGTCTACAAGTGTAGACCTTGTTCAGTGAATATCTGCTAATAACATATAATAAAGCTGTATAATTAACAAATTGCAACCAGTCTATTGATTTATTCCCAAAGATTCAGCTGAACTTGGGATGCATGAACAACAGAAATATTAAGTGGTCTGTAATTGAAAGTTCTTCATGGTAAAGCAGGTAAGTACAATTCCAACATCCTTCTAACATCTGGTCCTTTCCTGTTTTGGTAAATTCACCATCAGATTTATGACAAGACATAATGTAGGACACTCAGCTTCTAGAACCACCTCCTTTATTAGGAAACACATTCTATTAGACTTGACAAGTCCTTTAAATCGTTGCAGAGGAATTTTGGTCCAGTCTTTATAAGGTTGCAACAGTTTCTGTAATTACAGTATCGGTGTAGTACATAATCACCACCTCAACAGACTGCTTGGATACGATGTTTAGTGAAACATATCTCAGACCTACAGTAGTTGGGTTTCACCTTAACATGATGTTGTGGATGCTCCTACCACCATGTGGGGTAAATATTGATTGTTTTCTAATCGTTTACATTATTAGTTAGTTAGCTGGACAGCTGTAAAGCTGACATATGGAGTTGGTGAAAATGCATTTAAGTTCTGGTTTTAAGTGTTCTGCTAAAGATGACAAAAGATACTTTAACTGTCAGCTTGCAGTTCATAAATGACAGCAGGTGTCAGAAAAAGGTGGCAATCCTAAATTTAAGACTGATAAATTTAAAACTCACTCTGCATGGAAGAAGTATTTTTAAACATGTGTGTACAGTTCCCTGTTGTTAATATCATCGGTGGCCAGTTTGAACATCTTAAATATTCAAAAATCCAAAGAACTGTTTGAAGTAAATCCAGAATAAAAAAAATGTTCTCATCATTTCTGATGCCTAAACACCAGTTAAAATTAATATTATAACCTACATTTTTCTATGTTGTATTATGGTTGTACATGCTGGGTGCAAGGATAAGTAGGTGTACAATGGATGGATGAGTACTGGGATGTGTACCTCCTTGCAGGTGGTTGAACAGCAGAACACCAACAGAAACACAATTCTCTGAGGAGAGTAACTATCATTTTTATGGTTAATAAGTCAATTAAACATACCATGAATATTAATGAAAAACAGTTTAACAGTGTAGCATTAGAAGCATAAATCAATAAATCAATCAATTCAGACCCCTTCAGGTCAGCTCAAATCTAACTGAAGACAGCAATGGGTGACGACAAGCAAACTGAAGATGCAGAATCCAGAGTTCACACTTCTGGGTTTATCTAACCGGACCTGGAAAACACACACAGCTTTGTAAACACACAGAGAAGAGCCAAATGTTTCACAGGTTTCCATCTTTACGGCAGGGTTGTGTACTTCGGAGGGCCTGTAGGTCCTCCAGGGTTTGCTGAGCTGTGGCCTTCAGGCTGGGCTGAAGGCTGGAGGTGAGCCGGCCAACCCGAGCCTGGAGCTCCGGATCCAGCAATGAGGAGCCGAGAAGCAGCACAACATCCTCTTCCAGCAGCACGGACTGGAGTAGGCGCAGGCAGTGGAGACACACCTCCCAATCCTCATCTGGCAAGGGGCCAATCAGAGGACAGGAGTCTAAACTACAGCAGTCCATTACTACAGAATGTCAGAATTATCAACCCTACCATCCAACAGCGTCCAGATGAGTGGAATGAGATCTTTATTCTCAATGATGAACTTCAGTCCTTTAATGCTAATGCTCACATTATACAAAGCCATCAGCATCAACCTGCAGCAGAACACCAGCACACGGCCCGAGTCCAGGAGTGTCTTAGTTAAAATGGTTCTGACAACAGCTAAAGTTGGGTACCTACACTTTCAGTTTGGGGAAGCTGGCAGGCCTCATCAGCTGCAGCAACTTCATTAGCGTGTCCAGCAGGACGTGTCCTGAGCTGGACAGGAAGTCCCGCCCACATGTTACTGCTGCTATATCTAACAGGAGAAAAAGCAGTAGTTGTTTAACATTCAGTCAAACTAAATATACAGTATATACAGTATATTCCAACACATTGGACTCACTTGTGATTGTCCCAACCAGAGCCAACACAAACTGGTGCTCTTGAGAGTTGTGGTCACTGGGTTGAGTTTTTATCTCGTCATCCATGGACTTGACGAAACTCTCCAGAGTCTGAGCAGCAACAGTCAGGAAGGAGGAGAGCTTTCCCTTAAAACATGGAAATGTAGAAAATGTAGAAACGGAAATATTAGACGGCAAAATCTGACATCTGAAGAAAAGTATTATATTTTAACTGAAACTGAATGTGCAGTGTGTTATGAGATGAAGACATAAATCAGCGGTGGTTGTCCTGGGGATGACAGCACAGGGACGGACTCACATCAGCCAGCCAGGTAGTCACCATCTCCTCCCTGGACGAGCCACTCCACAGGAGGCTGCAGGCTGCAGATCCCAGGGTGGAGCAGAAGTCGGCCTGCTGCTGCAGCTCTGCTCCGCTCTGCCACAGCTGCTCACGCAACAGCAACTTCTCCTACACACACACACACACACACACACACACACACACAAATACACACAGGAACTAAAATCATGGATGCCACTGTCTTGTCTTTAAAATTTTCCACATTTTGATTTTGCTTTACATTTTTTTTTACGTTATGTGAGAGCAAAACAAAGGTGGAACTAATAAAGTACTGCTGAAATAAAGCCAAATGCAATTTGCCACCAGCCCAGTTAGGGGCGCAGGAGCCATGTGGAAGGAGGTGAAGGAGGTTTTATTTAGCAATAAAGTTGATATGAAGATCAACTAAATCCAGGACAATCCTACATGACATACATTTGATTATTTTCCTTCTCTGTGACATTCCTTCACATGGATTCTTCCCAAACCCTCAGCCGTCCCTGGCCTGGCACTCTGCTCTCACCTCTCTTTCTTTCTGACATTCAGAGTGCGCTGCCTCCAGCCGAGACTGAAGATGTGAGCAGTCCTGTCTCAGCTGAATCTGTTCCTGCTCCAGGTGTTCCTTCTCTAAACACAAATCCACATTTACTGACTTCCTCTAATGTGACGCAGTCCTAAGAAAACAAGCTCTTTCTTTCCATATGCAGTGCACTGATGTGACAAGCTTATGCTAATATGGATAAGCAGCATCAAACCACAGAGCATCTCTCCAAAAATAACAAGTATTTTCTCCTGATTTATGCTATTTCTGGAGCGATGGCCTCTTCCTCTCTCAGTGGCATTTCAGCTCATGTTGGTCCAGGAAATGAGAGGAGTTTGAATATAAATACTGATTTATCACACACTTCTCACCAAAACCCATTCATATCTCGGAAGGGAACCAGATATGAACAGAAGGCCTGATTGGTTTTGGTCTTAAGGTGTTGCCATAAATTAACTCCAATGTTGTAAAATAACAAGGTAGGGTAACACCACCTGAGCTTTCCCTTAATCTCTCTTTTTTGCTAAAGTTTTTCTTGACGCTTCATAAAGTGTGTTGGAACTTTGGTTATAGTATCATACTTGTCTCTGCTCTCCGGGCTTTGTGAAGCATTTCAGTCAGATCACCATTCAGAACTCGGGGCAGGAACTCTCTCAGCTGCATGACTTCTGTCGTTAATTTCTCTAAATCCCTCTTCCGCACTCTCACAAACGCATCCTGTAGAAGAAAAGAAATAAATTTTCAGTAAAGGCAACACTAAAGCAGAAAAAATACAACTAAATCTAGTTTTAATAGTTTACCTTAGCCTTGTGATTGTGATCCACGGATTTCCCACCATATAAAGACGACATCTTCAGCTGATGATTACAGAAGACAGAGTTCTCTGTTAAGGAAGAGATATCTAAAATAGTTAACTTTGGAAAAAGTTTGGCT